CCATTACACTGACTTTCTGCATGCAGTCGGTTAGTTTTACCACTAGAAGGCAGTATATTCTCAAGTGTTGTGACCTATCCTCAGAAATTTTGACAAGCTAAATATTACTTGTTTATGTGGATGCACTTTTAATATGTATTTCATTTATATAGAACTCCCAGAGAAGCAGGAACAACTTCATGCAATTTACAAAGAATTGGAGGAGCTTCCTACAGCAAACTTCAATACACTAGAGAGGCTAGTTTTTCATCTGGTCAGGTATGTATTTTAATAATAATGTAGTAATAACTTTTATTTATGCATTGCTTATTAATGTACATTATTTTATGTAATTCAGTGACTCTGATCCAAAATTTATTATTTCTGTGTAATGACTTCCTTTCAGAGTCTGTAAAGAGGAAGCCCACAATCGTATGTCCCCCAATTCCTTGGCTATAGTTTTTGCTCCATGTATCCTGCGGTGCCCTGACAGTGCGGATCCACTTCTTAGCATGAAGGATGTTGCCAAGACGACCATGTAAGTACTAATCGCTTAATTTGATACAGACTGATACACAGTTTACAGTTGTAATGTTTTGGCCTCCTTTTTATAATAGGTGTGTGGAGATGCTTATTACTGAGCAAATCAGACGTTACAATGAGAAGATGGAGGAAATTGAGCAGCTAGAGTATGCAGAGAATTTGGCAGTAAACCAGCTTAAACTGAAAAGACAAAACACGGTAAGAACATGTGCCTTACAATCTGCCTTACTTACTATGACAAGATGATATTTTCCTATGAAATCAGAGAAAGTTCTTCTTGTAAACACTGCTCTTGAGCTCAAAGTCCAGTTTCAGATGCTGTTGTTGCTAAGGTCACATGGGTAACATAGGCCAATGTTCCTTGTCTCTCTTTAGCACTTCTGGCATTTACCTCTCAAATTCTCAGCTCCTTACAAAGGAGTGGTGGTATGTATCCTCCGGGTAGTTTAGTATCTGTAGTGACATAGAATCCAGCTCTCCATTGACATTGCTTGTTTCTTGTTTTTCTCCATCATAATTTCTTCATTACTAACTGGTATGCATAATGCATGCTGCCTAAGGTTGCACTTGGTTTATGAAGTTTTAAGGTTTCCATTTGTTGTGTTTTCTGTTTTTTTAAGACAATTTTCTTACATTTTAAAGTTGTTTCATCATATTACTAATGTTTAGTGCAATAGAAGTTAGTTCTATTGTATATTGTTTTGTGATGTACAGATGCATGACCACCTACTATGTTTTCCTTACTAACAGAAACTGAGTTTGGTAACAGGGTCTAAAAAGTCTTGATATATGTTTAATACTTTTTATTGTTCAGTGACAAAGAATGTTTTTTCACATTTAGGTTCACGAGAAAGCCAGCTCTGATCTTAGTGTTGTACCTGAAAATGAGCCTGTAGATTCAGAAACGGAAGCAGAGAAGAACCTGGTTGAACGGATTAAGTCCATCAAACAAGAAAAGTATGACTTGTTTTATCTGTTTTGTAAAGAATTATTGATGTAATTTTTCTAATGATTTGGTTGGTTCTTTGAAGAGAGGATCTGGCCTGCAGACTTCCTGAGATGGAGCAACCTGGTTCAGACCAGGAGAACTTAGATTCTGAAGCCTCTTTGAGCTCAGAAAGTCTTTTGGATGAGCAGCAGCGTTCTTCGGCTCACAGCTCAGAGCCTGATGGTTAGTATTTGGTCCACTTTGAACTCTTCCTGTCTTTCTCGGTCTCACCTGTGGTTTCTGACCAAACCACGGGTCCGTTGGCTTGGGCCCTCGCTTTCTTTTGTGGTGCAGGTCTGGACCAGTGATGGTGATTGGGGCGGTGATGTCTGCTCTCTAACAAAGCAGGTTGGACAGTAACCTTTTTCTTTGTGTATGCTTCTGTGTATTCGGTTGCAACACCATTGTGTGCATGAGAGTGGCTCTGCAACACAGAGGCATACACAGTCCATTTTGCACCGCATTACTAATTTGTAGGCTTTTTGAGCTACATGTGACTGCATTCATTGGGCTCCTTTATTGATATACAGAATAAATAAGTGATCACAAAAAGCAAACATAATCAATTTATTTTCCTACAGGGCACCTTTCTAAGAGATGTAAACCGGTTTGTCCTCCCAAACCCTTGGATCTGACCCTGCGACCCAGATTCTCAACTCTGTCCATTTCAATCAGAGGCCTGAGCCCCACAGGCTCTGTCTCTCCTGTGTCGAGCTGCACATCTCTATCTTCTGACTCATCCTTCAAATCTTCATTGAAACGACGCAATCCTGTAATTCCAGACACTGTCAAACTGCCTCCTGGTGTTGGGTCAAGGCCTGGTCAGAGTCGCACACTTCCAGAAACCTCTAGTCAAACATTTAAGTCCTTGATCCGGACGAGAGGACAGTCTGGTCGGAGGAAAGAATCTGCTACTCAGTCCTTATATATCAACAGCCCTGAGTGTGAAAACATGCATTTATCCACGAGCCCAACCTCCTCCCCCAAACACCAGCAAGAAACTCAGAATGGCCAGAGACGTTTTTCTGACCCTGACCTGCCCTATACCAATGATAATCTTTAAAAGCACAGTATTGTGATAAATAACTTTTACTGGCAACAGCCTTGAATTTACAGAAGAAAGAAGCTACATGGAAAAATGATCCAAAAAAAATAACAATTCAATTCCTTGTATGAATCATAATAAAACTGGACTACTTGTTGCCAAGCACCTTTTCTATTATTTTAATATATTGTTAATGCTGATGAGACCTGCCCGAACAGGCGATATTACAATTTGCCTAAATGGATCGGACATCTTTTATTTCACCTGCTTTCTTTTTATGCCTTTGTGCTATCTCAGATTTAGCAGGTTCCAGTCGCACTTTTGTAGTTCTTATTTCTCCTAATGAGCATGTGACTAACATGCTCGCTGTCATGTTAGCTAGTGCCTTGATATGTACAGTAATGCTGAAAAACCTTTTGTAATTATTGCAGAACCTTTTTGTGAGAGAGGTTGTGTTATTGAGTGTAACTGCCACACAGATTTCAACTGAAACAACACAGTACGAAAAGGACCTACCATAACAAATGTGCTGCTTTTTAATTTGTTACAGTAAATGGGAAGACATTACCTTGCAATAGCAAAGGGAACCCGGATCAGTATGTCATTTTTTCTTTTTTAAATTAGAAGTATTTGGCTCATGTGCAATGTTATCCCCTCTGTTTCATTATAATATTCCAGACCTACAATTCAGATGGACCATAACTGAAACCCGGAAACCATGCCTGATGTGTATGAATTATAATTTTAATGTCCTACTCAGTCTGTTTTCATGATTCGTATAACAACCAACAATGTGGTTTGTTTATAAATGAGTTGGGAATGAATGGTTAGGACTGAATGAAAAAAGGTAGTGTTTTTTTAATATTTACATGCTAATACAAAACATAATGCTCCTTCAGTGTGTTCTTTGTGTTTAATTGAATTTCAGTTATAATTACTCTGTGAAGATTTGTGTTAGTCTAATTTCTTCTAGATGCACAGGAAAACTGTTAATAGCTAAGCTCAAATATGTATAAACAGGTTTTAGCCCTAAAATCCTTGAACTTTAAATAATGCATTTGTTAAGTCCCATCTTGTAGGTCCACATTTAAAACTTGGAAAGAAACAAATGCAAATGCACTCATTATGGAACGACCCTGGGCATAAATCTCAGTTTTGCCAGTAAACGTTTTATTAATGTCAAGTTGGAAAGGTGTAACTCATAGTAAGCGTTAATCATGTTTACATATCTATTAAACATTTCGTTTTAACTTATTGTGTTGTTTATGGTAATTACAAGCAGTGAAAGAATGTACACAAAAAGGATAATTTATCCTGTGTGTTTGATCTTTAATTCACATGCACGTTCACATATAGGCATGTGAATTAATATTTCTGATGGAGGAGTATCCACATCCATGACAAAAATATTCCACAGTCTAGCATTAACTATACAATCTCCAAGGAAACAAGAGTACCAGGCACAGTTACAGGTCACAGTGGAGAGGCATTCCTCTCACAGTAAGAATGTAAGAAGAAAAAATATGCAAGAAAGAGGCAAAACATTAACATCTCCATGGTCACAAACAGTTTGCAGACAGAAAAGTTACATTGCGTACATTTACATAATAATGATTTAAAATACGCTTCAAGGTGTAAGCAATTTATCAGAAATATCTTACATATTTAATAATAATAATAATAATAATAATAATACATTGAAATTAACGCTATTTTAATTTAATGAACGTTATTTTATTAAATCCATGATGATCGCCCACTTTTTCTTTGAACAGCTACGTCATAACACTGCGACGGCGTAGCTGTTCAAACATCATCAAACATGGCTTCTAGATTAGAAATAAATTTTATTAGATTGCTTTCTCGTTGTGAATCTATTGCTTCAGATAAACGAGGGGAGGCGGAATGGAGACTGGAGAAGGTAAAAATGTGGACTTTGTTAGTTTATCATCAAAAGCTGCCTTTGTTGTCAGCCGCTAACAGCCTTGATTGCATTAGCCACGTCGTCGCTCGCGTACTGGGCATTCAGTTATATTGTTCAATTTGTTTGAATTTTGATCATAAATACACTTACACGCAAATGTAAATCTTTGTTATCACTCCCAGTATGTGGCTGCTTTGGAGGAGATGTTGGTTGCACTGAGGAAAAACCCAAGGTAGTTTTTTTTTTGGTTTTTTTTTGTGTGCTTGTTTTCACATTTTATATTGTATAAGAATGTTTCCCATTCTGAAACACTTGTAACTTTGTTATCTGGGTGTTCAAACTGAATATCAAAATTATTTTGTTTATTTCAAAGCAAACCAACGCCAGAGGTTCTGACAGAATATACAAGAAAAGTAGATTTTTTAAAAGGACTTCTTCAAGCTGAAAAACTAGTGAGTGCACTTTGGATTTCTTTTCTGTGTTTTATACCTTGAATAAATAATTGTATTTATTTATTTTTACGTGTGTCATAATTATGTTTTATGTTTTATTCCATATTTTCAGTCTTCACCAGCTGAAAAAGCATTAGCTAATCAGTTCCTTGCTCCTGGACGCACACCAACTATTTCAAATGAGAGGATGTCTGCCACTAAAACTGTCCACATGCAGACCAAAGCCCGATGCACAGGAGAAATGAGAGCCGAGCTGCTCTCCACGGTAATGTACCAAGTATCAGTTTTGTTTTAAGTAATGCATTTCATTTCAGTTGTATAATAATATTGCATGCCATTTTTTCCCCTAGAATTCACCTCTGAAAGGTATGTACAAATTCAGCTTTTAGATACAGTCTCATTACAAGAAGGTAAATTAAATAATGCAATTCTTTTTATAGGTGCAACTGAAACCGAACTGCGAAACCGAAAGTATGATATGTCAAAATAATTCTTATACAAAATGTGTTAAGTTTATTTGAAAAGTCTATTCTTTAAAAATGTATGTTTTTAGAGGTCTGTCAGTGGATGAACATCAGTCTGCAGCAGAGCTTGATGCTGTTCTTCAGCACCATCATAACCTACAGGAGAAATTGGCTGAGGACATGCTCAGTCTGGCCCGAAACCTGAAAAATAACACACTGGCTGCACAGAACATTATCCGCCAGGACAACCAGGTGACTAAGTAATGAAATGGCACAGTCATACCAGAATGTGCTACAAGTTAAATGTTCTACCTTCCACAAGGTGGTGATATAATACTAGTAAAAAAAAGAAAAAAAAAGAAAAAGTAAATCTTACCCCTCATAATACGCTCTATTGACATTTACCAGAAGTTGTAAGAACACGTCATGTGGATGGTGACTTCCAATGTAGTTACCGACACTGGGCATGTGATAAAACCATGGACTCAGCAGCAGTGGGCTTCACAATGTGCCTTTTTTTTTTTTTTTTTTTTTTGACAAATTGTAATACACAAATTAATAGGCAATTTATATAGGAAAAAAGAAAGAATACAATGATATCTAGAAGAAGAAAACCGGTCCATTTTCTCAGTTTTTGTCAGAGTTATTATTGCCAACAGAGCCCAAAGGAAGTTGTCATCTGCATGTTTCCAAACGTCTTCTGGTTTTGTGACGTGAACGTGAATAGAGCCTATTGTAATGGGTAATAGTAACAAAGGTTTCAAAGGTAGTTAAGTGGAATAGTTTTTTTTAGAGGCTTTATCAAACCTTGGTTTCAAAGTAATCAACGTAAATTATTTCTAGATGGGTTACCCTGGTGATTGTAATAATAGATTATATTCTAAATATGTTTGTTCCTTTTGCACAGACATTGAGCCAGTCCATGCGTCAAGCTGATCTGAACTTTGAAAAGCTTAAGACTGAGTCTGAACGACTGGAACAACACACAAAGAAATCTGTGAACTGGCTGCTGTGGCTCATGCTCATCCTGGTGTCTTTCACCTTCATCAGTATGATCCTCTTCATCCGAATCTTCCCCAGACTCAGATGATGACCATCAATCAATGCTGGACTCTTGTATTTAACTTCTAAAAAACTACAACAACTCACCTGTATACTGATGAAGTAGCCCTGTTGTAGCACTGGGTGGATGGACACACCTGGAAAAGAATTCAAATCTTCATAAATAATTTTGCTGTAATTATGTGATTCTCTAGATGGTAGTATTTATGTTGGTGAATCAGACAAAAACTGTAATTGGCTTTGTGATACATTTATTCTCAATGCAGGCCCAACAACAAAAGCTATAAAATCATCCACACAAACATGAATAAAATCAAATTAACATTTCTGTCAATGCTTGCCCTGACTCAAATGCATCAAACAGCTTTCAGCAAAAATCATCCTTTTGTTTGTTCCACCTATATAAATGAAAGAAAACATATTTAAGTTTACATTGTATGTATTTTCTGGCTTCCAGTGTTAATATGTGTGGTGTTAATTACATTTTAATATATATTTAATTGGCAAAATACTTATTACAGGCCTGTGTATAATCTGTACAAAGCACTTTATTATTGTTGGAGTAACAGAATACATCATGGGATAACTTTTTTTTTTTTTTTTTTTGCTGTAATGTTTCATTACTTTTGTCAAGCCTTGCAGATACTTGTTGCTAATAACAGGTTTAATTTTAATCTAAGAGGTATGGTTTTCCTGTAGGTTTACTTTGGGCAAACTGTGAAATTTCTGTCATCAGGAAAAAGAAAAGATTGAACGCCATCCATATCATCTCAGACTCCTGATGGCTACTCTGCTTTGAGCTGGATCCATAGATGGAAGACCCTGTAAGACTACAGTACAGCTGAACATCAGCTGTGAGAAAATTACACATAAAAATAAAATAATAGATCTTAGTTTTTTTTACATTTGAGTAACAAATGATGGATGAACAAAGCATTACACTGACATATTTATGTTCGACTTTTATCTTCGACTAGGCCTACTTTGTATTTATATTCATAAAATTTATTTCTGGATTAGCACTATACCACTTGAGTTTGCGTAGCCAGTTTCTTAAAACTGGCCATGGCTCTCCGTTCTTGAATTCTCGCCACTTAGTGAGTGCAGTAACCTCTTTTGTCCAGTAAGGGTCAGTCTTGACTTTCACCTAATGATTACAATGGTGACCTTCATGACCTGCATGCATTACTGCTTGAGCCATGAATCCGTCTAATGTACAGCTATTCTTTTTAAAGATATCTGATGCTTGAAAATAGTTACTGTAAATATTTGCTTTTGTGTTTAGGTTGTTAGTCCAGTGGCATTATATTAGTAAACATGCTATGAACTTAACTATAACTGGGGTTTGAAGATCTTAAAAGAAAGAGTTGAATCCTAATGCGTTCCTAGTGTGTGTTTGTGTCTTGTGTTGCAGCCCTGCTTGTCCAGGCTTGCTGTGCCGCTGGTCTTTCTGATTTTTGGCCTTCGTTGCTTTGGGCTTGGCTCAGGTCTAGCTACAGCACTGTGTATTTTGAGATCCCTGGGGGGCATTCTGCCTGCCGAAGCTGAGGTATGCAGGCCACCATGAGGCCAAATGAGGTTGTGTCACAGCAGAATCATCATCCCTCAGTTTAACCGCAGCTGTTTGCACCTCCATTCTGAGGGCTTTGTTAATGCTAAGGCTATGTCATCTATTACTATGGGAATTACTGTTTTACTCACTCAGTTGCCTACATTGTGTGAACTTAAGAAATACTTCGTTTTGGGGTTTATTTTAAATTGTAAATGATGCCACAAGCAGTCACTCATTTTTCAGAAATTTAAATTATTTAAAAAATTATTTAATATTTAAAGTAGAGGCTGTTTTATTGTGCAATCCTTCTTGGATTGTAGGCTATGACATCTATCTTTACACTAATTTAGGGTTTAAGTGAGACAGCACTACCACAAAAACGCTTGAGATTGGACACAAAAACATTGGCAAAAACTATGGTAAATTGTTACCACTGGTAATCCCACTATATTGTCATAATGCCTTGGAATGAACATTTGAAGTTTAGTATTTAGAACCTATAAACTCTCTATTGGTTTGACATTGGGCTGAAAATGGAAACATCTCTGAGATACGACACCATCCCAAGCTCTATGTGAGATTCCCTGGTCAATTTGAGAATCTCTGGGCCTCCTATCTTCACTGAACTTGTTTCTGGATGAGGCTGGGGCAGAGCCATATGAGTCTGGGGCCCTGTGTCCAGCCCTGTGGGGCTGGTGGCTGTTTATGCATGGGATAATGTGCAGTTGAACACAAAGCCATAAGCTGAAAACACTGCACACCTCTTGGGGCCTCTTCGGGGTTGTCCTACAGGAGGCCCTGACAGTGCAGCAGGTGCATTGGGCCCCAGCAACAGCAATGGAGCTTTGTTTGGGGAGCAGATTAGACAACCAGATTTTTATCTTCCAAAATTTTTATTTGTGAATGCAAACTAGATAAAGTGCCATCTAAAAAATATTAGCATGGGGTTTAAAAATAGAGTGGATAAAAGAGAGAGATCCTTGTCTGAAGTGTTAGTGAAGATGAGACCAAGGTTTCTCTCAAGGATACTTTGAACGTCATGCATCACATGTTTTGTCCACTGCTGAGGTATGTCAAGGGCAAACAGATGCTTTGCAATTCTTTTCTTATTACTGTTACAGTTTGCACAAATTCTTAACCATCATACCACAAAACAATAGTTACAACAATCCCCACTACATTTTACAGATGGCATGGTTCACCTATTTGTGGTCATGTTTACTTGTACTGATCCTGTTAAATAAATAAATGATGTTACATACACAAAACAAAATCTTTCTGAAAGTCAACATGTGGCTTTTAGAATGTTGTGCTATGATGCTATATATGGGCATAAATGAAAGTCTGTCATTTTTCAAACAGCCATTCATGAAGATGGGATGCTTTCACTGATGGCATTAGCATATGCTCGCCATCATCACGATCTAATCCCAGAATAATTTAACTGTTTATTTTTATGCACCATATTTATTCCCTATTTGGGTTATTTTTGTTTGGTTATTTATAGTATGGACATAGCAATTATGCTGTGTTAACTCTCTCACTAATGGTCATACAGTATTATAACTATACAAAACAAGACTTAAACAGTGAAGGCTGTGACACAGAAGGTGTTTTACAATTAAATCCTTTGTTTTGGTGATTTGAGATGATGGCTCTGGTAACAATAGCAAAGTATACTTTTAAAACAAATTATGAAAAAAAAGCTTTGTTGACAAATTTAGCATCATGTTGATGCTTATGGAGTGCCAGGCTAAAGGTCTTGGGGAGGGGTCACTGGTCATCCCGGACATCCAGGAGGATGTCCTCAGGCTGCAGTCACAAATAGAACTTTGGGAAGTTTTGTATCTTGGGAAAGTAAACAGTGATGCTCACTGCCCACATTTGTACAAACCAGTGACAGGGCAACCAATCATATGAGGGAATTGTACTACTACTTCAAGAGGGAACAGAATAATTTAACAGAGATGGTTTTCAATAACTTGAGTAAATACCTCACCATGTCTGTGTCTGCATATTGGCAATTTAACTATTATTCTAGTATTGTTGCTCTGTTGTGGTGACATAACTTGACAGTAAGTGTTTGTTGCAGATTATATTTTTGACTCTTGTCATGTCTTCATAGTATTTAAAAAAAAAAAAAAAATTATTCATGAGACAGTTTTAAACATTGAAGGCTATGTTTGCTTACTGTTTCCCCTCTGCAGATAACGAGTAGCAACCATATAGTGGTGGTGGGTGTGTATAATTGATGAAGTGCTCTTTGATCCCAGGGGTGGTGGTTGTCACCTCGGATGTGCTGTTTGCAGTGTCCAGGATGGGCGGCTCTTCCTCTGTAAACACTAATACAATGCTTCTGAGTTTATCCCACGAGGAGCCGGCTCTCAGGAAGTCATCAACCATTTCCCCTTTCACCCATTTGTCCCACAGAGAAAAAAAATATGTGAACTCTGACCTGCAACATATTTGTTGAAGAAATTAAATAAAATCACTGAATATAAAGCATTTAAGCCACGAAATCAAAGTTATAGTGAAGTGAAGTATGTCACTTCTGGTGGTGGTTATACCACTTGTTTCAGTGCTTTTCTAGGAATGAACAGCATTAAACTTATGTATGATAAAAGTGTTTTCTTACTGTGAGTATAGTTGACTCTCCACAGATCTGGCTTGTAACTTGGCCTTGTAATAATAATAATAGTAATAATGATTTACACTATCCATTATGCATCATTTATTCCCTCCATTGGCAAGATAATAATGTAGTCAGTTGCCCTGGGGCAAACTGATGGAAGCAAGGCTGACAGTCTGCTCCAACAACCACTCCAACCATTACCAACTGTCACATATACCACTTTCCTACACACGCTTGTCTCTCTATTGAGCAAAACAGGTGGCAGAACTTCCACCAGAAAAGTTTCTTAGTGCACTTTTTAAGTGTTGACATCTGAAAATGTGAATGTTACAGTGTACCACTCTGAGTTGTTTAACTCAATCATGTCATATCATGTAGCAGATTGTACTTAAATTGTAGCATAGCCCTGATAGATATTTGACTGCTTCTTCATTGGAGCTGATTGAAGAACTGATCCAGGGTCCCCATAGGGATCTGTTTGCTTTGCTTTAATCTTTTTGCTCAGTTTTGCTCTTTCTAGACTCTGGACCTTTTTCACAACTCTTGAGATAAATTAAGCCAGGATATTCTGCAATTTAAAATCCATCACAAAACCTGAAACTAAATGGAAGATTGTCACCTCTGTTGCCCATAATTCGTTTTGACTCGGTGTTCTTGGCAGAATATGTTGTTGTTGCTTAAGCACCTAATGTTCAAACAGGGCACAAAGGGTCATTGTAAGGTCCCTGGGTCAGTGGAATCCTGGGAATGTTTATCCCCTTTCTGATCTGCACTCACACATCCCCATACTGATTTCAGCCACAACAGAGAAAGAAATGTGGGCATTAGAAATTAGGTGAGTATGAAATATGTAGCCACATGATGATGAAAATTCAATAAATTAGGAAATTATGACAAAAAAATTATAATATCTATATTTATAAAGTTGCAGTGACGATTTGTTGTTACTCCTATTTCTAATCCACTTTAAAGCTGTGGTACCTGATCAAACCATGACAAAATAAATAGCATGCATTTAAGTTGATCTAAGTCAATGGATCCAAGTGATGTCATCTCCCGTCCCATTGAAAATGATAGCTTATGCGTACTGTAGAGCAAACCTGACTTATTTGAGTATGTTTAGAGGCCTTTTATTTTGCTTGACAGAAAATTTGGGTTGTGAAGGGTTCTGTGCCATTTTTTTTCCATGTTTCCCATTATTGAGTTAGCACGATGTTTGTACATATTATGTCTGTTAAGACTAAAGTGCAATAGAACATGATGTTCCTATGTTTACTCTCATATAAGAAAACAGAAGCATACTCTGACCTCTATGCGTTGTGTGTGGAAATGTTTCTGAGAACATGCTGACTGTTTCCAGGGGAGGGGGACATGTGTGTGGAGTGTCCTTAGAACCCCTGGACCAGTGGAAGTGAGGCTGCCTCCTGACCACGTCTTTTCCCTGTGACAATGACCTGACCTTGACTGTTATGTCCGCCCTGAGCCCCTCTCATCTCTCTGTGCTCTGTCATTATGCCAATATGTGGATAAAGCTGTCACTGACACTTCCTGTGAGGAAGGCCACTCAGGTTCAAGCACTTTCTTATCAATGATAAAGCTAATCCTCTGGCCTGGCGCTTGGCCCTGTGGCCCCTCCACATCAGTGTGAGAACGGGACATGCAGTCGTTCAGCGTAAACACCAGAAGGAAAAGGCGCCATGAGCAGGAATGTGAGGGGCAGGTGACCAGGGTTAAGAGGAAAAGTGACCTATACAATCTATCCATAGTCTAAATAAGTGCAGTGGTCCATGTGTGGGAACGCAGACTATGGGATGTAAGCCTGACCCAGGGTTGTGTCTGCACTGCTCTGAGTGTGGCCTGAACACACAAGATGATACGAGGAGCTGACTGCAGGGGCCTGACTTCCACAAGGACTCCAAAGCTCAGGTGTGGTCCAAAGCTTTCCTTTAAAAATAATCTGTATTGTGTCTTAATGACAGCTGACTATATATTAGCACCATGTGTGAATCACAACACCTTATGTTAACCCTCAGGAATTTTGACCCCACACTGAAGTTTCAAGAAATCAATAGACAATTAATAAACATTATTACTTTCAGTAGCATCACTGCTAAACAATTTATATAAAAAATGGATCAGCAGACACAGTGTGTTGCATATGAAATGTGTTTGCAAGTGCTGCTGTATCCTTGGTTACCTGTGATCAGCAGTAGTCATTGATGACGTGACAGAGGCAGCTCTGTCCCAGACACTGCAGCTGTTATCACTCTGGATTATCAACATGCTCTGTGTAGTTGGGGCTCAGATTTATCGGATCACCGGACCAATCACAGAGCGGAGCTCTGTGTTCTTTCCAAAGGCTTTAGACTTCCTCATCGATGGCTCACAGTGACCTGTGCTCTCGGCATGTATTTAGAGCAGTGTACACAGTACAATATGTGCAAATTAATTATATTTATGTATCTCTATGTCATCGCCTCACCTGTAAGACATAAAGGATGATTGTTGCGAGTATGGCAGATTGTACTACATCTCACAAACATGGCCATCATGCAGGGTTTAGTAAGATCTTGCAACACAAATACAAAACTGTGCCTACATGTACACTGCACCTGCACTGGAGGAGGGGCCCATAATGTTCCATCACAAACAACTGAAACGGTATAAAAAACATTTTGTTCAGCACATGCCAAAGTGCCCCAGGATGAAGAGGAAATGTAATGTTTATGTAATTGTGTGATTTTATATATATATATATATATATATATATATATATATATATATATATATATATATATATATATATATATATATATATATATATATATATATATATATATATATATATATATGTATATATATATATATATGTATATATATGTATATATATGTGTATGTGTATGTGTGTATGTATATATATATATATATATATATATATATATATATATATATATATATATATATATATATATATATATATATATATATATATATATATATATTATATATATATATATATATATAAAAGAAGTGTGTGTGTGTATTTAAGTGTAAAATCCACACAAGGGCTCATTTGAAGAGAAAGGCTGTGTGTGTTTAAGCTCATGACTGTCCATGGTACATACAGCACACACAGGTCCACATGCAGCTAATCACTGAGTTTTCTACCAGCTGTATGAAATATATTGTATTTTATATTATGTCTTTCATGCTTCAGTTGCACCTTAGATTACCTACTGTATATTTTGTACTGCGCCATATCTCTTTGTCCTTATTTGACATTTGGAGTATGCCAATTGGCGGATATTATTTTTAGTGCCACCTACTGAAATAAAGTCATAGTACAACAGAGTGAGAGCTGAGCACAGTAGTGAAGCCTGTATAATCATATAAAAGCATTTTAGTTTAGCGGGATAAACAGTCATTCACTTGTGCAGCTCACTCAGGAGGAAGTACATAGTGAAAGAAAAGGAATATGGACAATGGGAATACCACAGAACGATCTGTTTTGACTAGATTCCACAACCCTTAGTCCTTCAGACCTGTGACATTTAATCTCAGTAAGACCTCATCTACTCTGTTCACTGGGAAACAACATTCCTCAGAATAACAAGCCTGTGCCAGCTAAGAAGACTAAACCAGTGTGCAAATTTTTATATAGCATTTTATATTTTGTGTTATTTCTATGCTCCATCTAAAGTTATCACAGCAATCATAGAGCTTTTTGATATTCAAATCAAATTGTTGTCTAGTTTTTAATGGTATTTTACTTACTATGTTCAATATTTACATAACTTAATGGATTAGAAAGATCTACCTGGTGATTGATCAGAAGATGTGCAGACCAAATATCTTTTTCAGAAAACCAGGTCTACAATTGTTAAAGGAGGCCACATAGACCTGATAATTTCAATAATTTTTCAGAGTATGTTTATTATTCATATTCACGGATGTGATAGACAGATAGTGAATAGTGGCTGGACTGCAATGACTAGATAAATATTAGTAATAGTAAAAGTATTATTGATTATAGAATGTTGTTGTTAATTGTATATTTTTTGGGTAGTATTATATATTTTCTACAATTCTGTATTTGAGATGCATCATTTTATTCATCGTTTACTTTTGTATCTTCATTCCTGTTCATTGTAGTCCAGTTCACACGTAGAGCCTGAGCACGGAGCCTCCCCGGTAACAGCAGCAGTCCAGATCCACACCAGGCCAATTGAGTGTGCAGAGATCCGCTCCTGGATTTGCATGAGGCCGCGGCCCAGCTGAGGACTGGCAGGACTTGTTTACTGTGGAGAGACGGAAAGAGGAGGTACCTGAGGGAGAGCAGTCGCTATACGAACGGGAATCCAAGTTTTTACACTTGACCCGTCTTTTTAAGTCTTTTTATGTTTGTTTAACTCACTATTTTAGCATCTCGGGCAAGGAATAGTTACTTTGTCTGTGTTGCTTTATTCGAACTCTGGGGCTGACTCGAAAACCTTGTTGTTTTGGATTAGCTCGCTAGCGTTAGCTGTTTTCCAAATCAGCTATCGTTCATCTGAGAAAAGAAACGGGCGGCGTGGTGGAGTTTCTCATTCCATTAGCAGCGTGGAGCTTCAACGCCGCCGATGTTTCCGTCGTTTTTTGATACATTGGACGGATACAGATCATCTGTGGGCTCACACGTTTCCAAACCTTATTTAGTTTTACCCGTTTGGTCGTTTCTGGCGGCGGAGTGGCTTGCGGCGTGGTGGTCAGCGGGGGTGAAGGAGTTCAGAGGAAGGTCGTAGTGGGGAAAGCTGCGTCTCTGCTGCACGTAGCTGCTCTGATCAGTTTCCTGGGATGTGTTCACTCCTATCTTAAAAGGGAGCTTCTGCTGGGAAATTGCATTTTACTGGCAAATTCAAAGACCTTCTAAACCGATACTTGGGCGACAAGTTGACCCCATGCTTGCTGGACGTACTGTTTTTGCGATTCTTTTAACACCGATTTTTGATCATTTTTTTTATTTCACTGGAACACCATAATATTGAAATGAACACAGACCGATTGGACCTCTTCTTCAGCCCGCTGCAAAAAAAGATTTAATATTTTCTTTATGTAGGGAAGTATCAAAACAAAACAGATGAACGTGGACTGTCGCCTTCGCTTATGGAAGATGAAGATATTCACTCGTACATGTGTTGCCAGAACCCAAGATCACGTTATTTAGTGGTGTGCATATTTCCTCGAACAAGTTGTTTTAAGATAAACTTCTATTGGAGAGTTAAAGCACTGCAGTCAATTGATACTGGAGTTTTTAAGGGCATTTTGAAGGAAGGTTCTTCCTATCCATAAATCAAAATGGGACGGTGGACGCTAAAACTGCGAACACAAATAGTGTGTCTTATCTTCAGCACCTGCATCATATGCCAATGTGGACTGATCAACGGGGAAAGTAAGTATTTTACTTCTCAATGTGTAGATCATGTTGACAGATAATGGTGATTAGCATTAATAAAGCATTAATAAAGAGCTAAACTGTTATTTAGTTATTTACTTTAACAGACTTTGTTGGCTCAATTAAGACATAATAGCTTACTGTATAATTATAACAATCATAGGCTAATAATAAAAATTAAAATACATTTTTAACTATTTGTACAGTGAAATCTAAATTTAACGCAAGTATAATGGTCAAGTGATACAGCTTGTTTGAATATGGTTAGGTTTATTCCTAATTGAATCCGCTTTAATGATGAGACGCTGGTTGTTTTGACGCATGCTCCGTGGTTTGTTTCTGTCTAATTAAGGGGCTGGTAATTTCAGGTTTTGTCGTCGTACGCGCTCGTGACCCCGCCCCTTGCCATGTTTCTTAAAGCTACACGTTTGAACAGCGGCCTGTGTTGCCTACGCCAGCCCCAGAGCCAGATTAGTTGATGTAACTGGACAAGGGTGGTCTGCCGCAGCGAGTCTAAACTGGGAATAGCAGGATTGGCCCAATGAGCGCGGCTAGGCCTCTCATAGCGACACATAAACACACCGCAGAGGCGCACACAACATAAAGGCAAACAAACAAGGCGCTGACGCTTACAAGTGTTTAGCGCTGATTTGTCTGTTGTGTCCCATGCAAGCGTGCGAGGCGCCTACGAACCTCAATACGTCTACATGTGCTGCTGAGAGCTCACGAGGAGTCAATTAAGCTCGAGCATTTTTAGCACATGTTATAAAGTCGCATTTAGGTGGGCTACATTTATTTCTATTATACATTAAGATTTAAAAAATAAAATAAAACTTTTTAACCTAAATAAAGTGAAGATATGCGGACTGAAAGCGTCTAGATAGAAAAAAAACGGAAGTTTATTTATGAAAATAATATTGTATTATTCTTTCATTTTGATTTTAATAGTGCTGTTTTGTTTTTTAAATAAAATGACTTTTGACTTAGATAACAATAATGACGAAATGCGTTTACAATGATTAGTCAGTCACGATTATTATGATTAATCTTTGCCGCCCTATTAAGCATATATTTAAACTTATTTTTGTAAGTTTTGAAAGGCATTGCCATTAAAATGGTTACACATTAAAGTTTAACCAGATCCATTTTACTTTAACATCTGAAATGTTATAGTGTTATAGAATAAAAGCATTGTAGGGCTCTTCCCATATCCTTGTGTATATTCACTTCTAGTTTTATCACAAAAAGACTTTATTGGCCAGGTTCTTAGGAAGTCTTGAGGCTACTTTTCACAGGTCACGTATGCAGACAGAGCAGAGGCCCATAAGGGGTTGCAATTGGACAGGACCAGCTCTGTACCCTCCTCTTTCCTATTTTTTTCTTTTCGTTTTCTTCCTCTATAAAGAAGGGTAAATGTCATTGGTTATCTGGTTCTTGATTTACTCAAATCCCTGGAAGTGACCATATTTGGCACTCAGGAGATGTTTATGATGAGAATGCAAACCACTCAAATACTATTGTTGCACATGCTGTCTCACAGCGCCACCCCTGTTATGGATCAAGGGAGGCTGTCAAACTAGGATCTGTGTACCCACTCATGTTAACACTTTTTTTGAAGTCTTGCCTCTTTGTGGTTGTCTCATAATCACCCGCACACAGTTTACTGAAGTACTTTTCTGAACTGCTGAGCTGTCTCCAGGTCAAACTTTTGAAAAACAAGTTGTGCAACTAGGAGGATTGCCCCCTTCTTGTTCCTCTCAATCTTGTAAGCACAACTCTGAGACACAAATGCGTATGCTGTAGGTAGACCATCCTATCCACTATTCCTGTTAATATTGTGTAAATTAAAGCACACCCTGTCTCTAAGTCTCACATTAACTTAATGGCACAACCTTGTAACAAGTACTAATAACTGTAACAGTGCCTGTTGCTCATTTAGACTGCATTGTGTGCTGCAGGTGCATATGGACTGATCCAACAATCCAACAACCACGCCTGTCCGCTATTAGTGTCTCTGACCTGACTACTCCTGTCCACTGTAGTGTCTCTTACCAGACTGCTCCTGTGTGTTTGTGTGTCAAGAGGAGGTGGCCATGCATGAGAACAGTTTGTACTAGAGCAGGCTGAAAAGCAGGAGGCCTGTTAGCACTGGCCCCTCTGTGCAGAGCGGCCCCTGACCCCCCACACTGATCTGAACCATCAGGCATATTTACTACTGTGCATGGTGGATTTTTTGTTATTGTGATGTTTTATGGTTTAAAAATGCAAGATGATGAGTTTAAAGTAATTTCTAATCTGGTAATAATAGAGAAATTGCTTGTTTTGTATGTTCTCAAGATGTGGTTCCCAGACTGGGGGTTGGCACCACCTGGGAAGGTAGATCTATCAGGTTAGATCTCTATGGCGACACGTCTTGAACCCCACTCCAGAATAAGATAAGAAGACTTCTTTGACCAAAACCAACCAGAGATGAGAATGCAGCAACCTTGTTTGACGTATTTCTTATTTTTTAATTCCTGGTATATTTTGTCAATGATTGACAGTTCCTCTTACATGATAGTGCACCTATTTTCCCTCAGCTCTGTGTTCCTACAACCCCATTTTTTTGCATTTAAAAATATTTTTGGAAGTGAATAAACCCCCACCTTCACCCTAACCATAATCTCAAAACAGGTCCTAACCTTAATCATTACCCTACAACCAAATGTGGGACCATAGAGCCCTGGGGAGATGGAGCAGATCCCAAGAACACAGTATGACAGATTCATTCAGAAAATCCATTATTGACAAAGACAGTTGTGAACAAGCTGTGCTCGTCCTACATCTTATCCAGAGACCCTCATGTCTGAGTTGGTCTGAGTAAGAGAAATTTATCCAGAATAAGTTGAGCCAGATTCGTACAGGCCTCTTGTTTAGAGCTGGTGGTACTTGCTGTTTAGAGTGCATCTGTCCTAATGCCCCACAATGTTTGGTTATCATAAAATTGTTTTAATTCACTTAGTTTGGGTAGTTTGTATGCGGTCAGTCACAATAAAGGCAACGTATGGTCCTTTGGCACAGAATACTCACAGAATTGACTGAGTGTCTCAAAGAAAAGCATCTTGAAAAAAAAAAAAAAAGTTTATTTAAAAAGTGACAAACTTTCAATTATGTTTTTGTGGAAAGGAATATATGGCCACCTGTATTTCTATCCCCAGTATACTATGAGCCTTCATCACACTACAGCTAGTTGCGGTTGACTAACGATTGCAGGTATCCATTTATCATTATATGGGGAATTAGCAGCATAAGCACTTTACATATCATGTTGAGTACTGCACCGGTTCTGTGTTTATAAAGTTAGCAGAAAGTAAAATATTTTAAAGAATTAAAGTAAAGATAGTTTTTTTTTGTCTTTTAGTTTGTATATATTATACTATTCTATATTGTATTATTATACTATTTTTTATAACTTTACTTCATATGTCAAGAAAAATGAACAATAGTCTCAGCTTTAAATGAAATGCTTGTCTTTGAAAACACAGAAGTCTCCTCAGGTGAAGTATAAATATGTTATGTTATTATCCATTCGTAACTCATTGTCTGACGCATAATCCTAAATATGTATTTATTTGAGTACAACAGGAATAGGAATATAATGGAGGTCAAGTGGTGACCACAATAGTTTTAGTAACGTAACTAGCTGGAGTGCTGTTGTACATGGAACCCATTCAAATGAAATGACGTTAGCATAAGCTGAACTGAAATGCTAAACATACCCAAAGTATTGAAGCACTTGCATCATGTTATCAGTGATTTTACTGATGTGCGAATCTGTTTTCTATCTCCATAATTTTGCATTAAAGTCTTAACTGTGAAAAAAAAAAAAAGCATCTTGGCCAGTACTGAGAGATAAAAGATGTTGTTTTTTTTAAAATATATTATTATATATTTGAGAGGAGATACCTTCTGCATCTGAGAAAAGTACACTAAAAGTAAGTGGCTTTGACTAGATCTGCAGTTTTCAAATTTGTCCCAGGCCCTCCTGCATTTGAACAGAGAGTAGAAGGGAGTTGTTTACAAGGCTACTTAAACGATTGTGCAGGTACAGGTAACAAAAAACAGGTTTTGTTTACATATGGGTATTGAAAAAATCAGAATTGTAAGTCCTCCAGTCACAGATGAACTGTGTATACCTCCAGAGCAAAGAGAAGTGATGAAGCCACTCACAGACACACACACAGTATGCTGTTATGCTGTTGAAATCTGTTTTCTATTTTCACTACCTGTGACTTCAAATACTAAAACCTTAATGCTCAGATTTATCCACAGATTTGGGGATCTTTGGCGTCAGGGTTGAGCAATAGTTCATATTACAGACTCTGAGATATTCTGTGTCATTTGCAGGGTTAGAGATACAATATGATAATAGAAAGAAATAAATTAAAATGTGATTTTGTTGTGTGCTGGTAAGGTTTCCTAATCTTTAAATTGACTAAAGTCTTAGCTGAAAGGGTCTGATTTTCCTTTGAAATAAGCTACTTTTTGGTTATCTCAAATAGCCACTTAGAATATTTATAAAGGTAGATTTTGCTGTTACAGATCATTTTTATGCACGCGTATGACATGTTGGGAGCTGGGAGCTGCAGTGTAACAGAACCTGATGGGTTAAATGTATTTTAAGGACTGTCATATGACTAAAGACATGGCTATTTGACACAGTGCATTAAGTTTCTCAACAGATAATTATGCTCACATATACACACAGGACTGTGTTGTGTACAGTGATTGATGATTTTAGTTCTAAATGCAAAGTTTTGTTCCTTCAAAGAATAATTATTGTCTTCTGTAATCTTACAGTCTACAATTTGATACAATTTAAAGTGAGATACATTTACACCACTAATTCCAATAGGAATTGTTTTACTTCATAGAAACTTGGAGCTAAGAAAACTTGTGTTGACGTGATGTTCTTTGCTGTGTTCTAGAGCAGGGTCGCTCTTCCGTTCCCTCTCATA